CGGCCCCGGCCCCGGCGGCGGCGGCGTCGCCCAGCAGATGGCTCGCTCGGACCACGTAAGGCTGCTTCTGCAAGCCTTCGCTTCCCTCCCCGCATCCCCCGGTCAGCCTTTCCAAACCTTCCGCTCCTCCTCTGAATCATGCCGGCGGCACACCGGGAGACGAGGAAAACGTTAACGCCGTGCAGAAAGCGTTGGTTTCCAGAGTGTAATAGCTCTAGCTGGGATGTAACACGCTTTTGTTTAATGAAGACTTGTCACAGCACTACGGGCATGAGACAGAGTTATATTTATCGGACCAGAATCACCTCCCTGTTCTGCTTGAGTAAATCTGAAATAGCTCAGCTGTAGCCAATGGAGATACTACAGATGGGAATGACAGGGGAATTTGGCCCATTGTTAAAATATCTTCATGTAGAAACAATGTAGGAAAATTGGACCATGACCAGGTTCCTTCATCACGGGCTGCGTTGACTCCAGATTGAACCCTCTTAAGTTGGTGAAGATACACAGGTGTGAAGGAGAGAGCACACAGAAGCCGGTCTTGTTTGAACTACTTGATCCAAAAGGAACCATTCTGCATCTTATTAATAAATGCCAGTTTCTTTGCCATGGACATTGTTTTTTATATATATATATATATATTTACGTATATACATCTCAAAATGAAAGGTGGGCTTAGACCTCTTAGAGACCCACTTCAAAGCTCCTTGACTTATTGGAAAGTTCAGACTGAAATCAGACTTTTATGATGTTCAATCACCATCATCTCTCAAATAGGCTTAAACTGGAACTGCAAACCTGAATTAACCAAAACATGGAGGAACACTTAGTTGTATAAGATGCCGTAAAAGCAACCCCCCTTCATAATCTTCCTGAATCTCAGAAGTTTAGATCCTATTACAGAACTGTACTTGATAAGTCTGACTTAAAGTTACTGATTTCAGAATAGCTGTATTTACTGCTGCAAAACCTTCAAAATTTGGAGATTTTTTACTTAAACTGGAAAAACTTTCCAAGATGCACAGATTTTATTCTGACTTACTGAACTTTAAGCCCACAAGACTGGAGCTTGACATGATTTCATAACGGCCCTTCTTTACATTTGCTGCCATTTCTGCTGATAGTTCAGGTCAGCATTTGGAAGGATGAGCAAAACATGAAAGAAAAGGTATCTTAAAAATGTGTTTCAAAAAATTTCTTAAGGCATATGTATTGGGGAAATGGGAAGGAATACCATTCCCTAATTGTTTCCCTCTGTTAATTTGGGGATTATTTCTCTCTGACATCCAACTTAATCACAGTTGAGGTACTCCTCACCTTCTAGCTCTACTAAACCTTTCCTACTTCCGAAAGTTACACCACTTCTTTACTTTCCCAGGGTATACCAGCTGGCACTGCGGGGGAAATACTAAAGCACAGGGTAACACTGAGGCTGAGTTGATACGTTCTATATCCAACTGGCTATTGAAAACTGGTCAATTATTTTTTTCTTGTATTAACCATTTCACACATTCCTTTGAAATGTAGGAGGCTTATGAATTGCAAGAGCTACGCTGTGAGTTACTTGCGCTTTTACCCCTTCCGGGATGAAGTTGTCACCTGCATCAATAAACTTCCAGAGCTATTTTTGTTATGCTCTGCTGGGCTCGGTGCCCCCTGGGGCTTCCTCTGAACCTCACTGTGCTGCCTTCTGTGGGCTCCATGGCAAGTCTAGGCAAAAAGTGCTTAACAGTGCTGCCTGAGAAATATATTGTGCTCTGGGTACAGTGATCCAGCATAGCCCATGTAATATTCTGAAACTATTTTTCTTGATTCTGCTGTGGTTTATCCAGATATTTAACATTTTCTGATCCATGATCTTGCTAGTAATTGATGCTTGGTAAGGACATAAATGCTGTCATGAGAAGAACTAAGCTGATGATGGCTTAGCTGGGGTCCTTCTTCCCTCTTTCATAACAAACAGAGTTCTGGCACCCTTCCATTTCCAGAAAGCTGAGTAAGAAAAGTTGCTGTCCTTCTCAGAAAGCCTGACAAGGAAAGAGATTTGGTGGAGCTGTCAGAAACAGGGAGACTAAAGTGAGGCTCACAGGCTGTTAGTTAGGCACATGAACAAGTGGTCTGATATTAAAAAAAAAAAAAAAAAGAAAAAAAAAAGAAAAAAGAAAATTAAAAAAAAAAGGCATTTCTACTGCATGGCTGAAACTTTGGTCCTAATCATTTAGTTGGTGGAAAGCACATGTCAAGGTTTCAAGCAACAGAATTGCTCAGATCATTTCCTACCCGCTTTGCAGAGCAGCAATTAGCAGCACAGTGGCATTAACAAGACAGCTTTACACAAGCTTTCAAAGTAAAAACATAAAGAATCCCTAAAAGACCAACTACTTGTAAAATGTGAGAGGGAAGCTCTAGGCTTGATTTTTCAGAGGTGGGCGCAAGGCTTTGCCCGCAGGCAACGTGACCGTCAGAGCTATCTGCCGCCCTGCGCAACCCCCGCGCCTCCCTGCCTCCCCCAAGGAGGGGAAATGTCCTGTCTTCTGCATTCGACCTTTGTGTTGCCTTTTTTGCAGGGGGATGGATGCTGCAAGTCTCTGAATGCCCTCTCATCCACATTTGCCGTAAACACCCAGAACACCTGTTTACTCTGACTCACCCACTCCTCACGCAGACTCTCCCTTTTTTTGACAGCAGACCTCACTCAGGTAGTATGTGCTGCTAATATCCTTTCAGGACCATGTAATGACATGCCTTTTACCCAATTCCTAGCATCCTTCAATCAGCTCAGCCAGTGGGCTAAGTGCTTACGCTCCTGAGATTTATATAAGAGCAATTAATTTAAACTGCATCACTCCAGTGTTATGCTGGTGAAAATGCCCGGAGAGGGAGTACCTCACCGGTGAATCAGACCCTTTACTTTTAACAAACATACAAAAGAACAGATCCCAAACCGGTGAAAATCTGCATGGCTCCATTCATTTCAACACACAGACTTAAACCAGCTCAAGGTCTGAATCACAGCTCACGTAGCAATGGTTTAGATACCGACTAGTGCTTCACATCCTAAAATGCAATGCTTTCCAAGAGTTGACAGGGGATGGGCACTCTCAGATGGAACAGAGCTGAGAGGGGAGCAGGACCACATATGCAACCTTTTAAAAATGCTTTGCGGATTTCTTCATTTCTGTGGAGTTCAGGAAAACAACGGCTTCTGTCTCTGCAAGCACTGCTCTCCCTTCTGGGAAGAGCTGCATCTGTTCCTCCACTCCAGCCGCAAAGCAGGTACTTGGGAAGTCCCTTTCCTTGCCACCTTCCCATTCATCCTGTAGCCTGGGTGTGTTCCCTGCAGCTTAGAAATCCATGTGACACCTTTCACTGACAGACACTAGGGTTAGATGCTGAACAGCTGAATCTTTTTGATCAGTTCTTGAAAACGGCTAACTTTCTCTGCACTTGTTTTGGCATCCCCGAGATTAAGAAGTCACGCAGCTTGACAAAGCACTTTACTCTTACATGTCTTAACAGAACCAGAGGGATTTTTTTGTTTTTTCTTCCAACACCTGCTGCAAAAAAAGGGCTGGGGTGGTCTCTGTCAAACACCCCTCTGCGCCTCCTCCCGACAGGACAGAGCCCTAGCAGCACACCGGCACGGCATACCGGTATGTGCCCAGGCAGGTGTAGTTAATACACGAGGAGGGGGGGGGAAGGGATGGGGAGGGCAGATCAAGAGTCAATCAGAGAGTAATTTGTGTTAGAAATTTACCAGCATTCAGCTGTCCATCTTTTCAAAATGCAAATATTTTAAGATTAAAAAAACCTATCTGTGACTAAACATCTAGTCTAAATCAATCTTGATAACCAGAAAATTCTGTGGCACATTTAAGAGCCTTTTATCCTAAATGAAACACATAATACAGATTATACCTTCATAGGAAATCAAGAGGTCCTAAGTATACTAATGGAGAGGGACATTTAAGAGACATTTAAATTACCCAGTCTATAATTTGGGGAAGGGGGAGGGTGGGTGCTTATCTGTGCATCTTTTAACTGCTTTGGATAATTAGGAAAATTTCCTTGGCAGTGCTCTAAGAGGATAGGCAAAAGAGTGACATAACTACTCCCAAGGAAAGAAAGGTCGAGGTTTTGCATTCTGCAGATTTTTAAAGTAAAAAAGAAAGTATTCTTCATTTGAACAGTCTGAAGCAGTATGCATATTACATAAAAGTTATCACCCTGCTCTGAATGTCATCTTTTCCAGGGCCTCTGCCTCTCCTTGAAGTCACTTGCAGTATCTCCCTGGCCCTTCTGCCTGGAAGGGCTCAGGTTAGGGAGGCAGGCTGCTCGTCTCCAGCCTTCCCTAAACGCAACTATTCAAAGGCAGTTCCCAAACGGAGCAGGCACACAGTCAGTTCAAAGGCTCCCATTAGGTCTGCCGGCTAACCTGTTATCTTGCAATGCCCCCCACCCTCCTTCTGCCCTTAATGAACAGTTTGTTCCATTGCAATTCTTATATCAAACATCTGGAAACCAGACTCGCTTTAAAAAAAGAAAGAAAAGAAAAAAAAAAAAAAAAAAAAAAGTTTCAGTGCCTGTGACTTATCCAGGTCTCTGTCAGAAAGAAAAAAAAAATTCAGCTGAATCGGTAAACTGACCTTTTTTTCAAAGCACTTTGATCAACACATTTTTCTAGACCTAAATTCTACAGAGCAACGTACACCCACTTTGTAGCAGGGTAACGTGCTCTGCCCACAGCTTGCTCCTCCGTTCACAGCTGTCTCCAGCGGGAGGAGCTGAAACCTGAACCAAACCCTCCGAGCAGGGATTGGATCCCTCCTGCCAGCAGCCAGAGAGCCCTCCCAGAAAAACAGCCTGTTTGGAAAAGTGCTTGAGAACATCCCGAAGTGATTGGAGGAGCGGAAAACCCTTCCCCCCTGCACCTGACTAGTGGGTATTTACAGCACTTTTCTAGGCGCCTCTGCACTGCCACTACACGACCACAGTGGATGGACTGCGCGGGGCAGCCAACGCGATAGGGACCGATGCACTCGCAGTGATTGTGCGTGTGCGTGTGCGTGTGCTGCACACCCGCCGGGGACCGTTACGCCGACCCGCGAGGAGAGCCTGGAAGAAGGGCAAAGCCTGCATCCAAAATGCCACGCTCCTTCCTGGTCAAGAAACATTTCAATTCATCCAAGAAGCCGAATTACAGCGAGCTGGACACTCATACAGGTAAGAAAACGAAATCTAACGCCACTGCGTTGCTTCTGAGGTTGCGGTCATTGCGTGGCAGTAATGAGGAGGGGTGGGATTGCTTTTCAGGCTTGAGGGAATAGCTTAGTTCGTGGCTAGCTCTTTTTTCTTTTGCTTACAAGGAGGGAGTTTTGAGAAATATGTCACTGCTGCCCAGAATGAATCATAAAAGTTTGCTCATCCACTTGAACTCAAGTTACTTAGAGAGGATTTGGAGTTTTCCTGTTCCGTATCTGCTGGTGGTGGAATTGAAACTTTTATACAAATCCTTCGGGAAGTTTCACTGCTTCATTGTATCGGGCTGCATAGGTTTAGAAACAGCATGCTGCCTTGAAGAGACTCTCGAGCTCTAATTTGCCCGTTCAAGGGCACTGTCTCTACCCATCGGAATATATGTATGAACTAGTATTTCCTTAATCCTCCTTATGTTCAGATGACTGTACCAAGTGTTTAAGTTATGCACCTTTTAATCCCCCAAATGTTAATTCTGCTGCCTTTTGAAATACTTTTTGGTTCTCTTACCTTAAAATTTTCTTCTTTCTCTAGTGATTATATCCCCATACCTATATGAAAGCTATCCAGTCCCTATCATACCACAGCCAGAGATCCTGAGCTCAGTAGCTTACAATCCCATTACTGTGTGGACTACAACCGGGCTGCTACCGTCTCCATTACCCAACGACCTCTCTCCGCTTTCTGGATACCCCTCATCTTTGGGAAGAGTCAGCCCACCTCCACCTTCTGACACCTCCTCCAAAGATCACAGTGGTTCAGAAAGTCCCATTAGCGATGAAGAAGAGAGAATCCAGTCCAAGCTTTCAGACCCCCATGCAATCGAAGCTGAAAAGTTTCAGTGCAGTTTATGCAACAAGACCTATTCAACTTTCTCCGGGTTGGCCAAACATAAGCAGCTGCACTGTGATGCCCAGTCTAGGAAATCATTCAGCTGCAAGTACTGTGACAAGGAGTATGTCAGCCTGGGAGCACTTAAGATGCACATCAGGACCCACACACTACCTTGTGTCTGCAAGATATGTGGCAAGGCTTTCTCTAGACCCTGGCTACTCCAAGGACACATTAGAACTCACACTGGTAAGAACAACCATTGCAATTGCAGTTTCTTGTTGCTATAACATCAGGATGCCTTTTTGCTATTTTTTTCCTCAGGTGGAAAAACCAGCAGTGTTTCTTTACTAACCTTGAAATGCATCTGCAGAATTTCAAATGTATCATTAAAAGGCTAAATTCTCCCTCTTGGGGAGTGGGTGGGAGGGGAGTGTAGCATGGTCTCATAACTGTGGGCCAGATACTGGCATAAATCAGCATTGCTCCCTTGATAATTATAGGATGGTTTAGCCCATTTCCACTAGCTGAAGGTTTTGCTTTAAGGATTTTATGTTAACTTTCAGGCTTTGGAAATTGCTAACTTTGAGAAGGCTCCAGCTGACTCTGAAATCAAGCAGCAAAAACAGAAAGGCAATGCATGAGGGGCTGCTTTCTGACTCCTTAAGCGGCTGGCAAGTTTTGCATGCGCTATCTCAAGTTCTTAGGAACTAGAAACACATCATCACCAAAGTGTTCTTGCTTTTTTGTTCTGTTGAGGTGAAGACTGGAGTTTGAGTGTAACGCTGGGTACAATGTAATGTCTGTACAGCTGTTTGCTGCTTTTCAGTCAAAGCCCTTGTCCCCAGTAATTCACACAGCACTAAGCAGAAAAAGGTCTGTGAAAATATTTGAAAATGCTGGGACGAGCCCAACCTAAAAGTGCTGTCTGCACCTGTAGATGCAGAAGGTGTCAGCAGCTTGTCTTCAGAGACTGCACTTAGCAGCATATTCTGAAAAGACTGAGTTCTGCAACTACAGTCAGCAGTGCTGAAAGCTGTTGTATCTGTGGCCTGATTAACCCTTTATTAGACATTCTTCATTATAACAAATCCTTTCTGTTTGTTTCTTAGGATAAAAGCAGGTTTTACCTGTCCTAAACATGTACTTCTCTTTTAAAGCTTTATCCTCTTTTTGCTTGATGTTTCCTTTTTAGGAGAGAAGCCGTTTTCCTGTCCTCACTGCAACAGGGCTTTTGCAGACAGATCCAATCTGAGGGCTCATCTGCAGACCCACTCAGATGTGAAGAAATACCAGTGCAAAAATTGCTCCAAAACTTTCTCCAGAATGTCTCTTCTGCACAAACATGAGGAATCTGGCTGCTGTGTAGCACACTGAGTCATGCAGTCAATGTTTACCTGGACTCGATGCATTTCTCCACTCCTGTTCCAAATGATAAGTGGAAATCCAAAGGCGTTTTCTCGTCTACTTTTCAGCCAAAAAAACCAAAACACCACCAAACAAGCAACCAAACAAAATAGTGGAAGAACTTAGAATGTCAGTAGAAATGAGCTTTAAGTAGTTCTGTTCAGTCACACATTCGCATTCTTAAGTGTGAATTCTGTAATATGGGGAAAGACACCATGCATGACATTTCAAGTAGATCTAAAGGAAGAAGCATTATCAGCTTTATAGATGAAGCCAAATGTAGATCGTCTTTTCTTGCTTGGAAAAGGCTGCAAAGTTAACAATACATTCCTGCCAAGCCATTTCAACCAAAGAAACAGTGTTTTAAGTGGAACTTTTAATAAAAATACTACCCAAGTGAATTTTGCTAGACACCATTTATCTCAGGTGCCTTAAAAAGTATTCCGAGTTTACCTTAGTAAATGTTTAATATTATTCATTGCTGTGTTTTTTATTTTATTTTATTAGAAGCCGAGGCCTTCATTAATGATCTGAAATGCTTTAAAACTGCATAATTAAGAGAGGAAAAAAAAAGTAAGAGAATGTATGAAAAATTGAAAGCCACAAATTAACCGCATGTGCCTTTTAAAAAAAAAAAAAAAAAAGACTGTAGCTTCAAACATTCCTGGTGCATGCTTGACCATCTTTTAATACGGAATAGTTCCTCTAAACTTTAATCTTTTTAAAAAACGGGAATAAGTGCAAGAGAGGGGGTTCACAGGAGTTTGACAATTATTTTTTTTAAATGCACAAAGGAAATGCAATATTTTCAGCATTACCCCTCCAAGTGCCTTTTTTATTGATGATTTTGTAAAGTATGTGGACATAATGTAAATATTTTTATTTTTATATGATTGAATATGTTATGAATGAAAGTGAATTGTTGCCTATAGCAGCATCTATAGATAACTTGAAGAAAGTGTGAAGTGAAATTTATGTTGTTTTCTAGCCACTTTTTTACAATAAACATTTTTAAGTAAGATTTCTGTTGTTTGTTCTAATTAAAGAAAACAACCGTGTCTGGTTTATCAAAGCTTTGGAACATAAAAAATGCAAGTGTCTCTACATGACCAACTGAAGATAAAAGTGAATTTCAGACACGAATCCTTAGTTTACAAGTACTGAACATTAGAAAGGAATATACCCATTGCATTTTAAAACATTTAAAATTATACAGACCATTTTTCTAGAGTCACTGCTTTAAAACACTGTTGCTTTTTTGCTACTTACAACAGTATGACAACAGTGTGAAATATATTTTATCGAAAACATTTAAAGGAAACTTATTTCTTGCATTTTAACAGTTGAAAAGATATTATTAGATCAGCCTTATTATAGTACTTTTCCTGAGACTCTGACATTAGGAAATCTGGGCCTGATCCAAAGTCCATTAAAATCAGTGGAGCCTTACAGGAGTGCAGTAACGTTTGCATGATGCTCTTTTAAAGTAGTAATCAAGTCACAGTATGATTATATGGCCATTTCAGAAAGATTAAAGATATTTTTATTAAAGTATCTTACATATCAGAACTGTCAAGTAAATGTATTATGACTGTGTATCAGCTAATATATCACAGGAAAGAATTATTTAGTAATAAAAAGTAGCAGTATTTTTCTTCAGACTATTTGACTAAGGGCTCCAAGATCTGAACTATATAAAAGCATTACAACATCAGCAAGTCATGTCTCATCATTACTAACTAGTGCAAAACAACACTATTTTCAACTTTTAACAAGTTACAAGCTAGAAAACAGCTAAGCACTAGTTGGCATCCAGTCTAAACACCTCTATGTCTACTTTAGGGTACCAGCTGTAGCAAGTAATAGCAAAACCAAAATTCCAACAATTTAACAAGAATGTTACTGATGGATAAACACAAGGTGCAAATTTCTTGAAAAAGAGTACATTTCAGAAAAATAATGCAACAGACCATGCATGCCTTGTGTCTCCTCCAGAGACATTGAGTCCTGCAGAGGAGTGCTTCGCCAGGGCTGCACTGGAGTAACTTAGGTAATAGGCGCAAGATGGAAGTTTTGTACCTTTCCTCCACAGCAAGCACTGTACTGAAAAAAGATCAGCTCAAATGAAGCTTTTCATGTTCTCCAAGTGTCCTCTGACAAAATATCAAGGTTATAACAACGACTCCCTAGGACCTGTTAGATTTTTTTTCAGGAAATAGCTAGAGAGTTTGAGAAAGATAGGGTTAGGGGGAATTTGTGAGGTAACATTTCAAAATGAACACATGAAGGCATCAAATACCCTTGAAAAGTTTCATGTGGTTACTCTATTGATTTGCACTTCCATGTCATTCTCTTTGAAGTTCTTAGGCTCCAGCAGCTCTTTGTGCAGCTTTCTCTTCCCAGAGCAAATTTTACCGGAGTATGAGTAAAGCTCTGGCAGTCAACAGCTATTTGTACTGTCAAAGTTCTAGGTTTGCTCTCCTGTGTCATGTCACAAAGGCTTTTCCATTGTTTTAATTCACACTTTAAATTCTCTACGCCCATAATAAATGAAATAGCATAAGAGCTTGACTTCTTGAATGAGTGGAAATGCTACTGTTGTCCTTAAGGGAAATCAGATGAAAACTTCATCAAAATACAGTATGCTAAACAAAACACAAGTGGAACTGGTCTGATTTGGAGATGACAATTAAGATATGCTACTTTGCATGCCTGTAACACCTGTACTCATAAAACACAAAGATGGGAAAGGCTAGAAGCTCTTCTGGCTCATCTCTTTAATTGAAACAGAGTGCTCTATCACAGATCCCTAGCTCTCTGTCCAGTTGCAGCATAAACTTCCCAGGCAGCTGAATTTCTCTGCTTTTCCTGTGAGTCTGCTTTCTATTTGCTGTCAGGACATTTCCACAAAACATTTTCCATTAATAGTTTTACCTCATTACTCTAGAAATGCCCTTCTGTACCTGCACAAGCTATTTATCAATGTAAATTAAATTCTGTTCTGAGCTGTTGGTGGATGGCTCCTGCACCTTTCTCAAAACATGAGGGAAAAGCTCCCTCCATGGTGAATCTACCTACTGAATCTTTTTGACCATTGCTACATTTCTCACAAGATATCTCTCGTTCTATATCCAAATAATCAACTTCTAAAGTCTTTCTTAGGAAAACATGGTCCCCATGCTCCGAATACCTTCATTGCTTTTTTCTGAAATCAATCACTCTTTCACTTTTAATTTTTGACACCATTGCTAAATGTGATTCTTTAAGTGAAAAGTTAAGCTATCAAAAGGCCAGCCTCTCCTCTAAAGGCACCTGCATGATAGCAACCTATATACAACATGATTCATAGCTTTTTTTAAACCCTTCACTAATGAGTTGCTTAGAATCAGTAGTTCAGGGGAAGGAAGTTTTGCCCAGAGGTTACTCCAAATGCTCTAAATACTATCTTTTTGGTTATATGATTGTCCATTACAGGCATGCCCATGAGGGCTAGACCCTTCCTTCAGTATGTTCTGGCAATTTACTTTCACCTCCTGAGTGTATTATCAGTGTGCGGAGAAGAGCTGAACCACCACAGCACATGTGCAGATACAAGTCGAGTGTGTGAGTTTCCCAAGGCTAGAGGCAATAATTGATTCACTTTCATTTCCTCTTTTCTCCTCCCTTGCTTCCATTTGGGAGTGCTTTTCACCTCAGAGGCTGCAAACTGAAGTAGTACGTGCATGAAATTAAGACAAAACAAAGTACACATTTATGCTAAAACCACTGCAATTATCCTACCAACTAATCTGGTGTTCAGAAGAGCATCTTATGCTCTCACTAAAGGGTTAAAATAAATGCCTCTCAGATTAAGGCACCATGAAATCTGTCTTCTGTATTTTACTCTGTTATTTGGTTTATTATAGTTCCTGTTATCATTAAGCAAGCTCAGGGCCTATTACTCTAAGCTCCATAAAATCATATAAAAAAGAAACACTCTAAAGATCCTCTAATTTTAGTTAAAAAAGGAAGGACAATGGGAAACCTGGTGAACCTGATGTCTTGTGCTACAGCCGATTTCCCCTGCCACAAAAACAAATCAATATTTCATCTTAAAATATATTTTTATTTTTCAATAAGAATTTTTCAATGCTGAACATTACTTCTTTAGAAATATTGCTGTTTACTAGCTGTCCTGGATGTTTGGTCTTGTGTCTTTAAAGTAGGTGGTTTAATAGTTAAAATATATAAATTACAATTCTGGTTCACAGAAATATAAAGAGTGGAATTTGAGAGGCACACTCCAACCTGCGTTCATTGTAATATCAAATGACAGCTGCAAGAAATAAGAACAGACCAAGTGCAAGTGAAATCCCAGAGTCACAGAATGGTTGAAGTGGGAAGGCACCTCTGCAGATTGCATAGTCCAACCGCTCTGTTCAAAGCAGGGTCGGTGGAGTAGTTTACCCAAGACTGTGTCCAGTTGGGTTTTGAGTATCTCCAAGGATGGAGACTCCACAACCTCTCTGGACAACCTGTTCTGATGTTCAATCACCCTTGAAGTAAAAAAAAAGGGTTTTTTCTTCCATTTAAATGGAATTTCCTGTATTTCAGTTGGTGCACGCTGCCTCTTGTCCTGTCACTGGGCAACACTAAGAGTCTGCCTAAGTCTTCTTTAGTCCCTCTCATCAGGTATTTATACACATTGATAAGCTCTCCCTTGAGTTTTTTCTTCTCAAGCTGTCTCAGTCCCTCCCATATGAGAGATGCTCCAGTCTTGGCCTTTCAGTTGGACTTACTCCAGTATTGTCATGTCCTTCTTGTACTGATGAGGCCAGAACTGGACCCTATGCTGCAGATGGGTTTTGCCAGTGCTGAGTAGAGGTGGAAAAACTACTCAGTTTCTGATGGGATGCTGACAGAATGCCTAGAGGTTGTGGAAACTATATGAACTGCAACAGAGTACAAACAAAAATGATGCTTGCATGCCCTATCTTGTCTTCACCCAAATTTCAATTCATTCCAAATCTCTACAAAGTCATCAGGAACTTTGAAGGGTGTGGAGGACAGGATTGTGTTTTCTGGGAGAGCGAGAGTT